TCAACATCCTGGTGTTCGTGGGCATCATCCTCTTCTCTGTGTACTGCCGCCTGCAGGACCGTTCTGAGGCGCTGGTTCAGGTCGTGCGAGGCGCCGACCGCCGGATGCGCAATCGGCTCTCCAAGGCGAGTGCTCTGGCCGACCGTGAGGCCATCCTGCAGCGCTTGGACCATCTGGAGGAGGTGGTCTACAACCAGCTGAATGGTGAGCCGAGGGTGTCCTGGGATGGAAGGGAGGCAGGATCCTGTGTCAGGACATCACTGTGTCCAGGAGTGGCTGCTCACACCCACCCCACAATATCTTCCAGGGTCCAGGGTAGAAGCTACTCTGGGTCCTGCGGAGGGAATTCAGGAGGTAGCAGGGGGGCTGGGAGGCCTTCATTGGCAGAGGGCAGTGATAGGGTGACTGCACCATCCATTCATCCCGTGAACACTTGGGAACTGTCCCTGCCTCCTCCACAATGACTCCAAACTTACTACCCAAGAGAAGTCAAACTTCTCAAGGAAGAGCCTCTAAGGAGCTGGCAGGAGGGCAGTGAGGGGCTCAGGCAATGCCTAGATGCACAGTGAGACGAACAGATTGTGCCTAGGTTCACAGCCAGGGACCAGGGGTATCTTACAGAGCTGTGAGGGGAGAGGTGACATCTAGGCCCATAGCAAGGACCCAGGGAATCTTTCCAACTGTGGGTTTAGATTGGACTCACTCCTTCCTCCCTGGAGAAACGGGAGGAGGAGGTGACTGCTGCCCTTCTAAAGTGGCTGATCCCATCTTCCTCACTGCAGGGCACAGAGGGTTCCTGTCTATTGAAGTTGTGACCTCTGGCCTGGATAGCCCTCTTTCAAGGATGCTCAGGGTTCCTGCAGAAAGTTTTGTTGTGGGAGAAGTGTAAGACAGCACAGGTGCTGTGTGGACAGATGGGGTCAAGTGTCAGGCAGGGACACATCAGAGCCAAGTGCTCACATAGACTGAGGTCACAGTGCCTGGGAAACCCTGAGGCATGAGAGTCTCTGCTTCTGGTGGCCTCTTTGCCTTTCCATGATGGGGGCGGGGCTCAACTGGGTCACGGCAGGTCGCAGTAGATGGGGGTAGCTGTTGCATGTTGAGTGCAAGATGAATACATCATCTCTGTCCCCAAGGACAACTCTGTTAGGTTTCAGGAAAGAGACAGTTGGTGAAAGCCTGCAGCACCATCAGGTTTCTTCTCTTCTGTGTGGCTCTTGGAAGAAGCAGCCCTAGAAAACCTCTTTCTGCAAGTGCTAGGAGCTAGCTTCAGTAGGCACTGCCTACTGGGCATCTTCAGCAGGGCTCAGGTCATAAGTTCCCTGCTTGCTGTGAAAGGTGTCACCTGGGGACTCCTGAGAGAACAGAGTTCCAGACGTAACTCTGAGCACAGCCCAGAGGGGCCAGGTGCCACCTGGGGATACAGGCAGCTCACGTGATAACAAAACCCTAACTTCCTGAGGGGTTTCTCACCACCCACGGAACTCCTGGAACCCATGGCAGTCCTGACCAGCTCTGTGGCTTCTCAGCCATTCAGCTGAAGGCAGAGAGGAAGAAAGTTGAGTTGGAGCGGTGGCTTGGCCACGCCGCCAGTGTGATTCATCTTCTGGAAGACTCTGGGCCCCGTAATAGCACGGAGCTTTATTGAAGTGTATTTGCCAGGGTGTTATGGTCTGTTTTATGGGGTGAACCAGAGGGTTATATAAAAACATTGGCACCATTTGAGCTTGTGTAACATCATGCTGGCGAGCCAGCCTCATGAGCTGTTTCCGTCCCCAGTTCCCCAAGGACAAGAGGGGCCAGTATTTGGTGGAAGGAAAAGCTGGGGCCCTCGGTCGACTTTCTTGATATTGACATGGATAGAATGAAGTTCCTTCCTCTGGACTCTCTCCTCCCTGCTCCTCTGCTCCTTCCAGCTTCTTCCTGCCTCTCATCCTTTCCCCGCCCCCTTTTCTTCACCTGTCCTGTATGCCTTTCCTCCACCCTCAGTAAGCCCCTCCCCCTTGCTCCTTGGCTCCTCCAGTTTCCCTTTCTCCCCTCTCTGTGCTGAGACAGCGATGCCTTCCTCTGATTCATATGCTTAGCAGAGTCTAATCACTCAATATTTGCCCTAGGAGATAAGCAAAGCCCAAGTCTAGCATTGGTCGCAGGTGGGTTCCCAGCGGGGGAGAGCACAGAGTTTTCAGGGACTGACTGTTTAAGTGAAGCCATTTAGGCACACTTACCCCACTCCGGGCTTGGTTCAAAGCCTCTGATTGAGGGAATGGAGGAGAACCATGAGAGCTTCCTGGAAGAGGCAAGTTGCTCTCCCTGTTGCAGCTTGTTCTATTTTAGATCCTAGAGATGTGGGCTTGATTCCCCGAGGGTTTCTACCTGGAACTTATCTCAGTGGCATTTAAACACTAAGAGAGCGCAATTGCTTACATCTGCCTGGACTCTCCGTTTGAACTCTCTCTTGGCTGGAAGGATGACGAGGAGTCCTGGGGAGCAAGGGGTGTCTTCCTTTGAGTCAGGGGGTGCAGGAGGGTGCTTTGTTGGGGGTGAGTATGCCATTCTCCTCATTCTCTTTGGCCCCATGACCTCATGACATGTCTTATTGACTCTGGCAGCACCCCTGTGCAGTGTAGACTCAGGCTCATAGGACTGGGAGGAAGCATTTTGTGGGAAAGGGTGAGCGGTCCCTCTCAGATGTGCTTGAGAATTGCTTCTAAATCCAGCGCTCAAGGCAAGAAAAAATGTTTATGGGAAAAACTCATCCTCCGAATACCTTAAATTGCACATAAAGCCCAGTGCCCATGGCTGTGTGAGCAGCTGGCCCAGACTCTCAGGAACTGTAAATTTGAAATCCTCCAAGCTTGGTGCTGCTTCCAATCTGATGCCAGGAATTCAACCCTTTTCCCCTAGTGATTGGGGGTGGGTGGGAATTCAGGCTTTTGTCTGTACTGGGCTTGCCCCTCTGAGTCTGTGAAGCCCCAGCAGAGTGGAGGAACAGCTCTCCTCTACTACTGAAATCTCCATATAGTGAAGGGAACCATTTGGTTCAGTGTCTCACACCCTGGGGGGCTGGGCTCTGCCCCAAATTCAGAGGTGGTCCCCTTTCCTTATGTGCCTGATGACCTGAGAAAGAACACATGGAAGGGTAAGTGCTTGTTCTTGAGGGGTCATTGCTAAGATCAGAGCACATGTGTTTGTTATTCCCTCCAATTTGTGCTGCTCCAGCCCACGTGTGTTCACCATGCCTTACGGTTGGCAACATTCACAGCTGTGGTCAGCCTTATGGTTGGGACAGAAAAACTAGGAGCTGGGAAGTGAATGACTTGCCAGGGTTGTATAGGAAGTTGGTGGCGGCAGCAGCTTGGAGAACGAGCAGGACCTGCATTTCTGATATCATCACAAAGTCAAGTTAAAAACCAACCAGAAGATCTTAATGTGGGCCCCAGATGCTGGCCATTGACGTCCTGGCACAGGTGGCATCTATCTACTTTATAAATACTTGCTCGCCCTTCTCTGGGCTGCTGGTCTAGTTCTCCTGACCAAGTACTTGCCTGCCTCTTCCACTGCCCTCTACACCTGTGAAGACTGGTATTCTTTGGTCTCCTCCTCCTCCTTTGGTGTTTTAGAGACAGGGTCTCTCTACTGTGTAGCCCCAGATGTCCTGTTTCTCTGTTGTGTACACCAGGCTGGCCTTGAACTCTCCGAGATCCACCTGCCCTTTGCCTCCTGAGTGCTGGGATTAAAGGAATGTGCCACTATGCCCACCTCCCTTGATCCCCTTGTCTGTGTTTCCATCTCTAGGGCCTAACACCCTGGCAGGTAGCACACCCATATATATTTGAGTAAATGGGCATTTCTCTGAGCTACCCATTGCTTTTGATAAAATAAGTTTTATTTTTTTAAGGCAGTTTCTCTCTACATAACACTGGCCTCCTTGGAACTCCATGTATACCAGGCTGGCCTCAAACTCACAGAGATCCACCCGTCTCTGCCTCCTGAGTACTGAGATCAAAGGCGTGTGCTACCACACTCGGCTGAGAATAAAGTTATTTTAGGCCATCGTATTCCACTGCCATGCTTGTTGGCAGACGTGCTGGGTGAAAAGTGTTGTGGAAAGTCACACACTGTTGCACAGCTGTCAGAGGAAGCAGCTCGAGTGAAGGCGATTCGGGGAATGTGGAGTGAGCCATGCTGCAGGAGCGTGATTGTTCTCATGCTGCGACCCTGGGTTACTCAGCTCTTGTCTGTTTCCTGCCGAGAAGTGTCCTGCAGCCTAATCCCAGTGTGCACAGCTTCAGAAGTAGGTTTCAGAAGCCCTCATCTAGGGTTAAGATGGAGGGGCTGGAGGCCAGGTGGGAAAATTGAGGCAACTGTCAAAGGGCATGAGTTCTGAGTTGCCTTCATGGCAGCAAGGCCAGGACTACTGGGAAGCACCAGTCCTCCCAGCCATTGTGCTGGACACATTGAATTACCATCCACAAAGGCCTTTCAGAGCTGGAAAAGAGGCCAGAGGGAAGAGGGAAGGAAGGCGTGGCTGGGAGGAATGTTGAGTAATGGTGTGGCTTTCCCTTGTAATTTTTGGTTTCAGAGAAGTGAGGACTGAGCCTGAGGCAGGGTGTTGAGTTAGGGATGGCTTGATGCTATGGCTGGGGAATGTGGCAGCTCCCCACCTGCCGCTGTGTCAGGTGTGACAGGACGTGCCTCAGATCTCTGTCCTCCCAATGGCTGGCCATGTGCTCAAGAGTGCATCTGTGTCCTTAGAATGCTAGCCGAGCACGGTGAGCGCATCTCTTGGATGTCCCTACAGGGGTAGCCTATCTCTGTTATGCAGGTGACCAAAGACAGGTGGCAACAGTATGGGGCTGAACCTGGGGATTGGCTTCGTCTCCCTTGGCAGGTCCAGCATACATCCCTCTTGAGCCTCTGACTATGCAGGGGTCTTAGCTTCCAGAAAGAGGCCCCTTTGGAACTTTTCTGCACACTGGAGAAAAAAAACACACACACACACACACAAAGGATGTCCCATTTGCAAGGAACATGATTGCTGGCAGAAGGGTTCTTGTTCCCCAGCAAGTTATATTTCTCAAAATGGCTCACTTCCAGTTCCAGGTGACCTTCTCGGCTCAAGCACACTGGTTTTTACCCTTCTCAGAGTGTATGGTCCTACATGGCCCACGGAAGTGGCAAGAGTGATGGCAGCTGCGGAAACA